AGAAAATCGGGTGCATTTAATAAACGCTCACTAATAGCATGAGCTATCCTAAGCTTCTTTGAATTTTTGGCTACCCAATCAGCTTAATAAAATTATTTAAGCGCTAAACAAGGCAAGCAACCTCAAACGGAGAGGTCCAGAACAAGGGTGGAATAATATGCCGGGGTATAAGCCTGTTTATAGCATTTGAGTTGAATTTTCCTAATGGATCCCATGATTAAGAATTTCTGCTTTGGCCTGATTCAGCACTTATGATGCATTGTTACACATTATGATTCTGACTTCAGACTGGGTTGAACCAGTAGCACCTGCTAGTCTTGCTTCCTCATACACTCTGTAGTGTATAAAAATTTATGTGAACCATTGCGGTCGTTCTTGTGCAAGATTTCGATATTTCATTTGCACGTTACATAATCTACACTTCGATCCTAGAAGGAAGTCAGTTTTAGATCAATTAGCATCTTAATTATTTGAGTCTATGCATTCCCATTAAAGACAGTTAGATTATATCTATACATTAATTGATGAAAAAACACCATTCTAAGGCCAATAAAAGTCAATAATAATTGGCTATACTACTTTAAGGTTCACGAATTATAGTAATGCGGCAAAAATAAAATTGCATTATGAAGCGATCGCCAAATGCATTAAAGTCTGATACAGGTAGAATTTTTCATGAAATTCCTCCTTAAACCAAGGGACATTATGATTCATAATACATAAAGTACTAAGTACTAGTAGTTTAGAAAATAAGAGGCCTATTTGAAATGAGAATAGGTGTATATGAAAGCATTCAACCAGACAGGATACTCTGTTTTGTTCGGCTGTAAATCATATTATATATACTTCCTTGTAATTACTTACCTCCTCTGGTCTGGAAAACTCAATAAGTTGTCGAAATGGAGAGCCTGAATGTCCACCCTCAGAACAGAGTGGCCGTACATCTAAATGTGCGTCTACATTTATTACGCCAAATCGGCAGGTCGAATCTCTGCTACATTGACGCCAGTGCTCGATCCAAGCAGCACCGTTAGGCCAACTTTGATCATTACCTCCTCCCAGGCAAACGGGTAGATGGCCCTCAGATAGACATTGAGAGACCAGACTGCGGTGGCGTTGATGGATCATCTCCAAACATTGGTTCTGGCAACAGGCGTCCCCATAATCAATAATTTGTGCAGCTAATCTCACAAGATTTATGATGAGGCAATGGTATCAAAGTCAAACAGTCATTGATAAAATAAATTGTAAACAAAAAATGTAATTTTAGATATATAACTTTAAATAACGAAATTAGGAATAGATGAGAATGCTTAAGAGCATAGTAGTGTGATAGAAAACTGATATGCGATTCTCAACTAATATATTCGAATGGATCGCCCATATTTAATTAAGTTGAAATAACCGGAAAAATTTGATCTGCATATTTGTAAGCTTACTGTCTTACCGAGTAAATCATTATAATCTCCATCATCAAGAGTACAAGGTGACTATGTAAAAGCATGATATCTGATAGTGTAAGTTCGAGGCCTTCAATACTTGCTCCCATTATTGACCTGAATATTCGCGAACATTAATCCTTGAAAAATACAAAAATCAAAATGATGGCAATTCGATTATTACATTGTCCCACTGATTTGAGGCAATGTATAGCCTATGTTTTTAAATTGGCCATAAATTTGCCTTAGAAAAAACCTCGAATCGACTATGACGGTTGCGTAAAAGACGATTTGGCATTTGAAAACTAAGTTCTGCCAAATATGGATCCAGAAATTTCAAAAATCACGAATTGTGTAGGTTCCAAGAAATGGGATACAGCTTTCCGACGTAAATATATTCCCACATATTTATATTAACCGTTGAGTTCATGTCAAGATCTATAATTTCTGAGACATCGTCGATAAAGCAAACTTTAATTTACCACTAAAAGCAACAAAATATTATTTAGAATTGGCAGGCTTGAATACTCTTAGTAAATTGTGGATAAAGACCAAAAAATATTTATCCCAATAGTGAGTAACCAAAAGAGGAAAATGACTTTAGCTGAAGCTTATAGCAGATAATTCATTTGATTCTGGTTAAAATTGAGAAATGAATAACATTTTGTTAAGTTAATAAAGTATGAGAGTAAGATACGTTTTATCTCGTTAGTGATATGAGATTGGCGACGAATACCAGAATCAGATAAGGTATATTAACAAGCTA